TACGAGTGCATAGATATGAGTGAAGGGTGAAGGGGTGATAGGTGATCAAGTGTCAAGCTACGAGTGCATAGATATGAGTGAAGGGTGAAGGGGTGATAGGTGATCAAGTGTCAAGCTACGAGTGCATAGATATGAGTGAAGGGTGAAGGGGTGATAGGTGATCAAGTGTCAAGCTACGAGTGCATAGATATGAGTGAAGGGTGAAGGGGTGATAGGTGATCAAGTGTCAAGCTACGAGTGCATAGATATGAGTGAAGGGTGAAGGGGTGATAGGTGATCAAGTGTCAAGCTACGAGTGCATAGATATGAGTGAAGGGTGAAGGGGTGATAGGTGATCAAGTGTCAAGCTACGAGTGCATAGATATGAGTGAAGGGTGAAGGGGTGATAGGTGATCAAGTGTCAAGCTACGAGTGCATAGATATGAGTGAAGGGTGAAGGGGTGATAGGTGATCAAGTGTCAAGCTACGAGTGCATAGATATGAGTGAAGGGTGAAGGGGTGATAGGTGATCAAGTGTCAAGCTACGAGTGCATAGATATGAGTGAAGGGTGAAGGGGTGATAGGTGATCAAGTGTCAAGCTACGAGTGCATAGATATGAGTGAAGGGTGAAGGGGTGATAGGTGATCAAGTGTCAAGCTACGAGTGCATAGATATGAGTGAAGGGTGAAGGGGTGATAGGTGATCAAGTGTCAAGCTACGAGTGCATAGATATGAGTGAAGGGTGAAGGGGTGATAGGTGATCAAGTGTCAAGCTACGAGTGCATAGATATGAGTGAAGGGTGAAGGGGTGATAGGTGATCAAGTGTCAAGCTACGAGTGCATAGATATGAGTGAAGGGTGAAGGGGTGATAGGTGATCAAGTGTCAAGCTACGTGTGCATAGATATGAGTGAAGGGTGAAGGGGTGATAGGTGATCAAGTGTCAAGCTACGAGTGCATAGATATGAGTGAAGGGTGAAGGGGTGATAGGTGATCAAGTGTCAAGCTACGAGTGCATAGATATGAGTGAAGGGTGAAGGGGTGATAGGTGATCAAGTGTCAAGCTACGAGTGCATAGATATGAGTGAAGGGTGAAGGGGTGATAGGTGATCAAGTGTCAAGCTACGAGTGCATAGATATGAGTGAAGGGTGAAGGGGTGATAGGTGATCAAGTGTCAAGCTACGAGTGCATAGATATGAGTGAAGGGTGAAGGGGTGATAGGTGATCAAGTGTCAAGCTACGAGTGCATAGATATGAGTGAAGGGTGAAGGGGTGATAGGTGATCAAGTGTCAAGCTACGAGTGCATAGATATGAGTGAAGGGTGAAGGGGTGATAGGTGATCAAGTGTCAAGCTACGAGTGCATAGATATGAGTGAAGGGTGAAGGGGTGATAGGTGATCAAGTGTCAAGCTACGAGTGCATAGATATGAGTGAAGGGTGAAGGGGTGATAGGTGATCAAGTGTCAAGCTACGAGTGCATAGATATGAGTGAAGGGTGAAGGGGTGATAGGTGATCAAGTGTCAAGCTACGAGTGCATAGATATGAGTGAAGGGTGAAGGGGTGATAGGTGATCAAGTGTCAAGCTACGAGTGCATAGATATGAGTGAAGGGTGAAGGGGTGATAGGTGATCAAGTGTCAAGCTACGAGTGCATAGATATGAGTGAAGGGTGAAGGGGTGATAGGTGATCAAGTGTCAAGCTACGAGTGCATAGATATGAGTGAAGGGTGAAGGGGTGATAGGTGATCAAGTGTCAAGCTACGAGTGCATAGATATGAGTGAAGGGTGAAGGGGTGATAGGTGATCAAGTGTCAAGCTACGAGTGCATAGATATGAGTGAAGGGTGAAGGGGTGATAGGTGATCAAGTGTCAAGCTACGAGTGCATAGATATGAGTGAAGGGTGAAGGGGTGATAGGTGATCAAGTGTCAAGCTACGAGTGCATAGATATGAGTGAAGGGTGAAGGGGTGATAGGTGATCAAGTGTCAAGCTACGAGTGCATAGATATGAGTGAAGGGTGAAGGGGTGATAGGTGATCAAGTGTCAAGCTACGTGTGCATAGATATGAGTGAAGGGTGAAGGGGTGATAGGTGATCAAGTGTCAAGCTACGTGTGCATAGATATGAGTGAAGGGTGAAGGGGTGATAGGTGATCAAGTGTCAAGCTACGTGTGCATAGATATGAGTGAAGGGTGAAGGGGTGATAGGTGATCAAGTGTCAAGCTACGTGTGCATAGATATGAGTGAAGGGTGAAGGGGTGATAGGTGATCAAGTGTCAAGCTACGTGTGCATAGATATGAGTGAAGGGTGAAGGGGTGATAGGTGATCAAGTGTCAAGCTACGTGTGCATAGATATGAGTGAAGGGTGAAGGGGTGATAGGTGATCAAGTGTCAAGCTACGTGTGCATAGATATGAGTGAAGGGTGAAGGGGTGATAGGTGATCAAGTGTCAAGCTACGTGTGCATAGATATGAGTGAAGGGTGAAGGGGTGATAGGTGATCAAGTGTCAAGCTACGTGTGCATAGATATGAGTGAAGGGTGAAGGGGTGATAGGTGATCAAGTGTCAAGCTACGTGTGCATAGATATGAGTGAAGGGTGAAGGGGTGATAGGTGATCAAGTGTCAAGCTACGTGTGCATAGATATGAGTGAAGGGTGAAGGGGTGATAGGTGATCAAGTGTCAAGCTACGTGTGCATAGATATGAGTGAAGGGTGAAGGGGTGATAGGTGATCAAGTGTCAAGCTACGTGTGCATAGATATGAGTGAAGGGTGAAGGGGTGATAGGTGATCAAGTGTCAAGCTACGTGTGCATAGATATGAGTGAAGGGTGAAGGGGTGATAGGTGATCAAGTGTCAAGCTACGTGTGCATAGATATGAGTGAAGGGTGAAGGGGTGATAGGTGATCAAGTGTCAAGCTACGTGTGCATAGATATGAGTGAAGGGTGAAGGGGTGATAGGTGATCAAGTGTCAAGCTACGTGTGCATAGATATGAGTGAAGGGTGAAGGGGTGATAGGTGATCAAGTGTCAAGCTACGTGTGCATAGATATGAGTGAAGGGTGAAGGGGTGATAGGTGATCAAGTGTCAAGCTACGTGTGCATAGATATGAGTGAAGGGTGAAGGGGTGATAGGTGATCAAGTGTCAAGCTACGTGTGCATAGATATGAGTGAAGGGTGAAGGGGTGATAGGTGATCAAGTGTCAAGCTACGTGTGCATAGATATGAGTGAAGGGTGAAGGGGTGATAGGTGATCAAGTGTCAAGCTACGTGTGCATAGATATGAGTGAAGGGTGAAGGGGTGATAGGTGATCAAGTGTCAAGCTACGTGTGCATAGATATGAGTGAAGGGTGAAGGGGTGATAGGTGATCAAGTGTCAAGCTACGTGTGCATAGATATGAGTGAAGGGTGAAGGGGTGATAGGTGATCAAGTGTCAAGCTACGTGTGCATAGATATGAGTGAAGGGTGAAGGGGTGATAGGTGATCAAGTGTCAAGCTACGTGTGCATAGATATGAGTGAAGGGTGAAGGGGTGATAGGTGATCAAGTGTCAAGCTACGTGTGCATAGATATGAGTGAAGGGTGAAGGGGTGATAGGTGATCAAGTGTCAAGCTACGTGTGCATAGATATGAGTGAAGGGTGAAGGGGTGATAGGTGATCAAGTGTCAAGCTACGTGTGCATAGATATGAGTGAAGGGTGAAGGGGTGATAGGTGATCAAGTGTCAAGCTACGTGTGCATAGATATGAGTGAAGGGTGAAGGGGTGATAGGTGATCAAGTGTCAAGCTACGTGTGCATAGATATGAGTGAAGGGTGAAGGGGTGATAGGTGATCAAGTGTCAAGCTACGTGTGCATAGATATGAGTGAAGGGTGAAGGGGTGATAGGTGATCAAGTGTCAAGCTACGTGTGCATAGATATGAGTGAAGGGTGAAGGGGTGATAGGTGATCAAGTGTCAAGCTACGTGTGCATAGATATGAGTGAAGGGTGAAGGGGTGATAGGTGATCAAGTGTCAAGCTACGTGTGCATAGATATGAGTGAAGGGTGAAGGGGTGATAGGTGATCAAGTGTCAAGCTACGTGTGCATAGATATGAGTGAAGGGTGAAGGGGTGATAGGTGATCAAGTGTCAAGCTACGTGTGCATAGATATGAGTGAAGGGTGAAGGGGTGATAGGTGATCAAGTGTCAAGCTACGTGTGCATAGATATGAGTGAAGGGTGAAGGGGTGATAGGTGATCAAGTGTCAAGCTACGTGTGCATAGATATGAGTGAAGGGTGAAGGGGTGATAGGTGATCAAGTGTCAAGCTACGTGTGCATAGATATGAGTGAAGGGTGAAGGGGTGATAGGTGATCAAGTGTCAAGCTACGTGTGCATAGATATGAGTGAAGGGTGAAGGGGTGATAGGTGATCAAGTGTCAAGCTACGTGTGCATAGATATGAGTGAAGGGTGAAGGGGTGATAGGTGATCAAGTGTCAAGCTACGTGTGCATAGATATGAGTGAAGGGTGAAGGGGTGATAGGTGATCAAGTGTCAAGCTACGTGTGCATAGATATGAGTGAAGGGTGAAGGGGTGATAGGTGATCAAGTGTCAAGCTACGTGTGCATAGATATGAGTGAAGGGTGAAGGGGTGATAGGTGATCAAGTGTCAAGCTACGTGTGCATAGATATGAGTGAAGGGTGAAGGGGTGATAGGTGATCAAGTGTCAAGCTACGTGTGCATAGATATGAGTGAAGGGTGAAGGGGTGATAGGTGATCAAGTGTCAAGCTACGTGTGCATAGATATGAGTGAAGGGTGAAGGGGTGATAGGTGATCAAGTGTCAAGCTACGTGTGCATAGATATGAGTGAAGGGTGAAGGGGTGATAGGTGATCAAGTGTCAAGCTACGTGTGCATAGATATGAATCCGTGTGTCCCAGCTGATATGTATGCCTGCCATGCTATCTTGCAAGCAGCAATGCATCCAAGTTGAGAATCGATGTGCTAACTAGCAAATATTCGGGGACAACGTACCACAGCGCCATAGAATCCCGGTTCGATGACCCCAAAGAGATATGAGAAGTAGCTCTCCTGCCTGTGACATGTGATGCCATGCCATACCATGCCATGTCGTTATACCACGGCCATACCATACCATACCATGTCGTCACCCCATGGCCATACATGCCATGCCATGTCGTCACCCCATGGCCATACATGCCATGCCATGCACAATGTCAGATCAACCACACAAAACGCATGAGTTGCAACAGAAGATGCGCAGAGGATATGGGAAAGAGATATGACACCATGAAGACAGGAGATGAGAATCATATTATATAACCAAACACTCCTCGCCTCACCTGAAAACGTCCTCATGGTCGGTGCAGTGGCGCATCTGAGACTCCCCGCCCTGAATGCATGCCGAGGGAGATGCGATGGACAGGGAGAAGTGATGGAAAGGAAGGTGCGATGGACAGGGAGAAGTGATGGAAAGGAAGGTGCGATGGACAGGGAGAAGTGATGGAAAGGAAGGTGCGATGGACAGGGAGAAACGATGGAGGGAAATGTGCGATGAGGATGACCGCTGAGAAGAGGAGTCAGCATGTAGGCTGTAGCCTGTAAGGTACGGAGTGGCTAGAAGGGCCATGGTTCCTCTCTGAAACAGCAACGCCTGCGTTCACTTGAGAAGAAGGAGGGTAGGTTCCCATCCTTTTACTGCTCTTCCCACCTGTAGGAGCACGATGGCATGTTCTCCCCGGCCTTCCAGCCTGGCTCGCATCCGCTCTGCGAGCTTCTGGCGATTTTCGTTGAACATGGTAACGGGTACTTTGAGGGTCTGCTTTCCGCGCCAGAGAAATCCATCGGACCACGAATCCGTGAGTGAGCTGTTCGTGGTGGCTTCGTTCGCCTTGTGCTCTTCGTTGGCGGCCATGATGAAACAAAAGAATAGGAGAAACGGTGTTGCAACCGTGAATAACGGAAAAGCCGGATAGGTTCTAGATGAATTCAAGGACACTACAGCCTTTTTACTAAGACGGATTTCAGCAGACTTCACTGCAATGGTGGAATGTTGGGAGGAGAAAGAGCTGCTTCTGAAGGGATGTGGGAGGAAGTGTTTCAGGTGTAAGAAACAATTGTACGCATTATGGGTGACTTGTCATCAATATAACCCACTCGTCGTGGTATGCGTGTTCTCCGGTCAATAGATACATAATTTTATCCCGTGCCCTGATTCTTACAGAAATCTTAAAGCCAAAGTTAGCATGGGAATTGTCGCATCCCAACCATGCTGAATTTGGGCTTTAAACGTTACAGCTCTTTGGTAACTTCGGTGTTGCGGTCTCGATCCACGTCATGGCCGTCAGCATCGTCATTGCACGACACGTGGAAAAGCATATTCTACGAGCCGAGAACAAAGGATTCGCGCTTCGATTTCTAGATTCTGCCTGTTCTTTCCACTTCAACTCACCCAAAATGCGAGCGACTAATCAGGGTCCAGAGAGACAGGTCTGCGACCCTCCAGCTGGCATATCCACGTCAGCCTCATCCCCCTGCCAAATCACCTCCCATATTTCCCTCAGGTCGCTTCCCTCGGATCATCAAGCATTTTTTCCCAGAAATATATATGGCATTCCACATTTTGTGAAACTGTGTTTACTCTGCTGCTCATCTCCCCTTGGCCTGCTTTGGTGACAAGGTACAGGCTTAGTCTTTGCCACTACTGTTCTCGAGTCGCCTCGAGCATTGCGTTTTCCGCCTGTTTCCGCGGAAATCTCAGAACTGAGGTGAGCAGCCATGGCCTGTATCTCCACAGCAGTTGCGTCGATGCACGCAGCAACGAGCGCGAGACTGCAGAGTCCGCTCGCCTCGGCCTCCTCCGCTTCTTCCGCCAAGGCCAGCTTGAAATGCGCGACTTCCAGCTCACGCGCTCTCCCATCCATCACCCCTTCGCCGCTCTCTCAACACGTCGTCAGTCAAATCAAGAGCTCTCTGCCGCGGAAATTCCGGCGATCCGCTTCCGTGTATGCCACGTCAACGACCGAAGCTTCCACGCAGGCTCCTGGGAGCAGCAGCGAGAGCAGCGGCGGGCCGTCGAAGGGACGCGTGATGGTGATTGGCGGTGACGGATACTGCGGCTGGGCGACGGCGCTGCACCTATCAGAGCAAGGCTATGACGTGTCCATCGTGGACAATCTCAGCCGTCGATTGTTCGACGAGCAGCTCGGATCGCAGACCCTCACGCCGATCGCATCCATCCACGATCGCGTGCGACGCTGGCGAGAGATCACGGGGAAATCGATCGCACTGTACATCGGCGACGTGTGCGACTTCGAATTCCTCGCAGACGCGTTCCAGACGTTCGAGCCGACGGCCGTGGTGCACTTCGGTGAGCAGCGGTCGGCGCCCTACTCCATGATCGATCGCAACCGCGCGGTGTTCACGCAGCATAACAACGTGATCGGTACTATCAATGTTATGTTTGCGATCAAGGAATTCGCTCCCGAGTGTCATTTGGTGAAGCTGGGGACCATGGGCGAGTACGGAACGCCGAATATCGACATTGAGGAGGGCTTCATTACAATCACACACAACGGCAGGACGGACACGCTGCCGTACCCGAAGCAGGCCAGCTCTTTCTATCATCTCAGCAAGGTACGGCCTGTCGTGGGTTCTACTGCTTCAAATAGATGAAACGTTGTCTTGAGACGTCTCAAAACACAATGGCAGGACGGACACGCTGCCGTACCGGAAGCAGGCCAGCTCATTCTACCACCTCAGCAAGGTACGCTCTGTCGTGTTTTTCTGTTGCACTTATGTCGTAGTGTGCCATGTCAGCATGACATGCTCCATACGTTTTTCTCTGAACGCCTGTAGACCGCATTGGTGCATACTGCAGGTGTCACAATGCTACAATTTTCGCCAATCGTACGTTCGGAATTGTTACGTTTCCCTTGTTACCACAGGTGCACGATTCGCACAACATCGCGTTCGCGTGCAAGGCTTGGAACATGCGCGCGACGGACCTGAACCAGGGCGTGGTGTACGGCGTCGCGACGCCCGAGACGGAGAAAGACGTCATGCTCATTAACCGTCTGGATTACGACGGGGTGTTTGGTACCGCTCTCAACCGATTCGTTGTCCAGGCGGCCGTGGGACATCCGTTGACGATTTACGGCAAGGGCGGACAGGTGAGGGAGTTGGGATTGAGGCGATGGGAGCGAATGGAATGGACAGACGCGTGAGGTGGAATGGAAAGGTGGGCAGACGATGTATGAGGAAGAACGAGTAGAATGCTGGGCGAGGGCGAGAGGAGACAAGACAGGCGTCACTATGAGAGCACAGGGAGACGGGGTGAATGTGTATTGCGCATGCGAAATGGAAACGGAACAGGAGTTGGGGTTGGAAGGCGAGTTAGAAAGGCTCGTAAGATCCGACTGATGATCATGACGCAGTCCGACTGACATACTGTAGGCGAGATGACTTGTGAGGTGACTTGTGAGTCGACTCAGAACCATGAAGCCATACCATGAAGCAGACCTCCTCCTCAAGCCGACAGGCTGCAGGCAAGCCCACTTTTGAGTGGACTCTGTAACTTACAAGCAACATAGAAGAAAATTGGGTACAGATGGTCTGAGTTTAGTGTACGAGGATACGGCGCTCCGTCCCCGTGTGCAACCACTGCCCCACTGCCTCACTGCCTCACTGCCTCACTGCCTCACTGCCTCACTGACTCACTGCCTCACTGACTCACTGACTCACTGCCCACATGTCCCTCACCAACACGTCCCCTTGTACCCACCACACCCCATCCCCAACCCGTCCCACCAACAACTTGCTCCCGTATGGTCCCCTTTCGCTGGCCCCCTCGTCCGTCCCCTCTCCGCGCCCTCCCGTTTCCATTGTACCCTTGTCCATGCACACCCGCTTGTATCTTGGAATCCAACCCGGCCAACCCCGCCAAGCCAGGCGAGTTCCGCGTGCTCAACCAGCGTCTCTCTCAAACAACCTCCCCTTTTCGTCCACTTTCCCCTCCCCCCCCCCCCCCCACACCCAAAACAATCACCCTCCCCCCCTCTTCTTCCCACAGTCTCGCGGGTGTCTGGACATCCGGGACACGGTGCGGTGTCTCATCCCCACAGCTCTGCGCAGAGCTGGCAATTGTCAAGCCAACCCCACCAAGCTGGGCGAGTTCCACATGTTCAACCAGCATCCCTCCCGCCCATCCCTCCCACACCCAACTCCCCCTCCCTTCCTCTTTCTCCCCCCGCAGACCCGCGGGTACCTGGACATCCGTGATACCGTACGATGCGTCGAGCTTGCAATTTCCAACCCCGCCAAGCTGGGCGAGTTCCACGTGTTCAACCAGTTTACGGAGCAGTTCTCTGTGCGGGACCTGGCAAGGCTGGTGACAGCAGCAGGGGAGAAGATGGGCATTGAAGTGAAGTCCATCAACGTGCCCAACCCCCGTGTCGAGGTGCGTGTACTGTGCTGTGTAATGCTGTTTGGCCTGACTTGAAAGGGTGCTACCAGTCCACGGAGCAGTTCTCTGTGCGGGACCTGGCTCGGCTGGTGACAGCAGCAGGAGAGAAGATGGGCATTGAAGTGAAGTCCATCAACGTGCCCAACCCCCGTGTCGAGGTGCGTGTACTGTGCTGTGTAATGCTGTTTGGCCTGACTTGAAAGGGTGCTACCAGTCCACGGAGCAGTTCTCTGTGCGGGACCTGGCTCGGCTGGTGACAGCAGCAGGAGAGAAGATGGGCATTGAAGTGAAAGCCATCAACGTGCCCAACCCCCGTGTAGAGGTAAGCATGCTGTGCTGCTTGGTTGGAATACACAGGGAGTGTGGGTCGTGGTTCATGTTAACCCCCAACCCCATGCATTCCTTTATACCCTTTCGTATCTCATTCTGTTCCACTCAATCCCATCACACCGCACCAGGCGGAGGAGCACTATTACACCGCGCTGCTCGAGCTGGGGCTACAGCCGCGCTCCCTGGGAGGCGTTCTTCTCAACTTACAAACCCATGTATCCCTATCTCACCCTCTCCACCACTCTCTACCCCTTTCTATCCTCTGTTCCACCCACCCGGCGGAGGAGCACTATTACAACGCCAAGCGCACCAAGCTGCTCGAACTGGGGCTGCAGCCTCACTTCCTGGGAGACGCTCTTCTCGACTTGCTGCTCAACTTCCCCATGCATCCCTTTCTACCGCTTTGTACCCCTTCCTACCCCATACCCACCAGGCGGAGGAGCACTATTACAACGCCAAGCGCACCAAGCTGCTGGAGCTGGGGCTGCAGCCGCACTTCCTGGGAGACGCTCTGCTCGACTCTCTGCTCAACTTCGCTGTGATCTACAAGGACCGCGTCGACGCCAATCAGATCATGCCAGCTGTCTCCTGGAAGAAGATCGGTGTCAAGCCCAAGTCGTCCGTCACAACCACGCCTGCGCAGTAGTTCTTGGGGTTGGGGTGGTTAGTCTAGTGTTGCTGAGGCGAGATTTGGGGTGGAGATAGAGATACTGATCTCTTACAGATCTGATCTGAGGGGGTACTCAGGACTCCAGGATCCAAACCCTAGTTGCGATTACCACTACAGCAGGATGAGTCACTCAACTTCACATGCAGCTGACGTTTCCTTCCTTGCCCTGCAGAGAGGGCCATATAGGTTCTTCCCATGTAAAGGTCGAAGTACAAAACTAGCAGCAAGTGGAAATGTTGTGTGTTGTATGTTGCGGTAATAGATCATATTTTACTTCAAGAATTAAGCTGCCAAGACAGAACAGTTTTAAACAGAAATACCCTATAACAAGATTTAAGAAGTGAGGTTCTGCTGTTACAACAGTGAAAAATATTAGCAGCTGCCCTACTACTTCAGTAAGTTACCGTAGCAGTATCAACTATGGCTGAGCACATGCATGTGCCAACAAACCAGCTAGCACACATCTGCCATGTTGGCAGGCGGGCGATCCCCTACCAGTCCATATAATTTGGACCCAAGCATATCCTCAGCCCATATCCTACTCTAGTCAACACAGCCTGTCAAACGCACTTCAACACACCATCTCAGTGACCTATCATTTTTCTTACCCTCACCTCCCTCTCATGATGCCTCTCCTTCCCCTTCCTCTCAAGCATTTTGCCTCTTAAGATCTAACTCCAGCAAGACCTCTAACCCAGTCCCCTCCCCACACCCGCACTAAAGCCCCTTCTGTTTACGCTAGAAGCAACCAGCTTATGAGTCGATTCAAAAGTCATTACTCATCCCATATCCCGCCCCGGCCTGACCGAATTCGTCTACCACCCCCCCTCCCCCCCCCCACCCTCTTCTTCTCCCCCTTCCCCTTTTCCCTATCATTGCACAGGCTGCCCGTTGCGTCTGCCACTAGGGAACAGCCGCAGCAGCCATGAAAGCACCTCCTCAGCCACCTGAGAGAAGGCATGGGCATGGAGGAGCGGGGCGGGGGAGTGGGAAAGAAAGCATGCTATCATTTAGGTGAGGGAGAAGAGGTGCAGTATAGCTGTGCATGGGGCACAGCCGCAGCAGCCATGAAAGCACCTCCTCAGCCACCTGAGAGAAGGAATTTGTACAGCGGAGGGATGGGTACAGAAGGGGGGATGCCCCCCCTCCCCCTCCCCCTCCCCCTTCCCCCCTCTCCGCCTGCACTCACCTCGTCCCCTTTGGCACTCACCTCGTCCCCTTCATCCAGGTAATCATTGAACTCCGTGTATCCTGATGTGCCAGGAAACCTGGAAACCTCTAAGTCCACCCAGTTTTCACTACGCACACAAACACACACTCACCTCATCTCCATCATCCAGGTAAACATTGAGCTCTGTGTACCCTGACGGACGCACCAGGAAACTTGCAAACCTATAATCCTACTTCCTTTTAGAAAGCCAAGCCCACCCAGTTCTCCTCAAAACGACACACGCACTCACCTCGTCCCCTTCATCCGGGTAATCATTGAACTCCGTGTATCCTGATGCGCCAGGTGTGCGTGGTAATCCCACCCCCCCTCCCGCTCTGCCCTCCGCCTGCACTCACCTCGTCCCCTTCATCCAAATAATCATTGAACTCCGTGTATCCTGATGCGCCAGGAAACCTGGAATCTTCAAAGCCCCTTTCCCTTCAAGAAGCCAAGCCCACCCACTTCTCACCCCCCCCGCACGCACACACACACACACACACACACACACACACACACTCACCTCGTCCCCTTCATCCAAATAATCATTGAACTCCGTGTATCCTGACGCGCCGGGCGTGCGTGGCGATCCCACCCCCCCTCCTGCTCGAGGCGACCCCACTCCCCCTGCCCCTGCCCCTCCGCCTTCACTTAACCTTCCCGCCCCTGCCAGCAGCGCAGTGGCTGCTGCAGCAGCGGCTGGTGACACTTGTCCGTTTGCCTGGCTTAATAGAGGTGCCGAGTGTGACTTGGCAGTTGGGGAGAGGAAGGCGGGAGGGATGCTGGAAGGGGGGAGGAGAGGAGGACCGGCACCCGAGCCAGCACCCGTGCCAGTCGTTGCAGCAACCGCTGCAGCAGCGGCAGCATCAGTGGTGGCACCATCACCAGCAGCGGCACTGGCAGCAGCACCAGAAGACTGATTTCCAGGATTAATGGGTGCAGAGGAAGCACTAGCGGCAGGGGCAGGTGCAATCGCAGCAGAAGCGGCAGCAGCAGCAGCAGAAGAGGAGGAGAAGGAGGCGCGGGGCATGCGGGCGTTCAAAGCACCCGAGGCGGAGCGGGAGGCAGAGGAAGCAGCAGCCATGACGGTTTGAGCCACCAGCAGCTCCATGTGCTGTGTCTGACTCGCCAGCTTGTGAGATAGCTCCTCATTTGCCGCCTGTTGTGACAATAAAGGGTGTGGCAGTAAAGGGTGTGAGGGGGTGTGAGTGGTTGCAGAGAGGTTTGAGTCACCAGCAGCTCCATGTGCTGTGTCTGACTGGCGAGCTTGTGCGACAACTCCTCGTTTGTTGCTTGTTCTGACAATAGAGGGTGTGATAGTGGAAGGTGTGACAGTAAAGAGTGTGACAGCTTGTCACTGGGTCACTGGCAACTAGCAGGAAGGACAAGGGAAAGATGTTTCGATTGACTCAAGCTTAGATCCTGGCACGTGGAACATGGCATGTGGCATGGGATGGCATGGCACGGAATGGGATGGCATGGCATGGCATGGGATAGTATGGGATGTCTCGCAACTCACCCGCAGCTCTGCTGACGTGGCAGCCTCCTCCTTGAGTGTGCGTGCCATGCGCTCCCTCTCTGCTTGCATCTGATTGGTGGAGAAAAATGCAAGGAGCGAGGGGTGGGTGAGGAAAAATGGAAGCAGCAAGCTGCAAGAAAAAAAAAAACTCGATAACGTCCTGCCAAGGGAAGGGCTTACTTCCTCTCATCCCTACCACCTCTCTCCTTTTCATCCTCACCACTCCTCTCCCTCTCATACCCACCCTCCCTCTCGCCCACTCACCTCTGCCAGCAGACCGTTAATACTCTCCAAACTCCTCTGCTCTTCCTCCGACAAAACATCCACCGATCCGGGCAGCAGAGCGGGCAGCAACAAAAAATCATCCACCACTCCCTCCTCCTCTTCCTCCTCTTCCTGATTTTCCCCTTCGCCTGCCTTCCAATCCCTGCCTCCTCTTCCCCTCCTCCCACCACCACCTGCAGCAGCAGCACCTTCCTCTGCCGCCCCAACAGCAGCAGTAATCATCTTCACCAGCTGCTCACCCACTTCCTCCAAGTTATGCCGCCCGTCACTTTCCATTCGCGTGAACAGTGCCCGAACCTCTGCCACTGCTCTCCTTCCAGCTTCACCTAGTGTCTCTCCCTCTTCATCTCTCCTCCTCGCTTGTTCTCCTGCCTCCCCACCCTCCACTGAAGGTCTGGCCGAGCCTCCATCTTCCCTTGTTACCCCTGCTGAGCTTCCAGAGGCTGGTTCGGTGCTCGAGCCAGCTGCGGCTGACTCGGCAGCAAAAGATGCCGAGTCTGACACTCCAGCCTCGGCAGACGGTCCTGCTTGGCTCGGGAAGGCCGCCTCCAGCTCATCAGTTGAAGTTGCTTGGCTCACGGACGGTACAGCTGGCGTTGCAGACGTGGACGTGCTGTCGCCCCGCCACATGTCGCCGAGTGTGCCGCCCACTGTTGCCCTCCTCAACTGCACCTTGAGCTGGCGTTTCTCTGAGGAGATACGTGGAGGATTGGAGAGGGGGGGGGAGGGAGGGTGGATTACCATATAATGAGGAGATGTGCCCATGGTTATGGGAAACGTTCTGCAGGTCTGAGTCCTGACCACGATCAGCCCACTGTCACCCTCCTCAGCTGCACCTTGAGCTGGCGCTTCTCTGTGACGTGGAGGATTGGAGGATGTGATGACATGTCATTTGGTGTGATATGGCATTAATTTATAGATATTCAACACGTCGCAAGAAACACATCACACCACACCACACCACACCACACCACACCACACCACACCACGCCATGCCACGCCACACCACGCCACACCACACCGCACCACTCCACACCACAACCCATTCACCTTCATTTAGCTTATCCACAGCGGCACGGAGCTCCTTCCTCTCTGCCTCAAAGGTTGATGCAGCACGCCTGTGTCGTGGGGGTGGCATGGCAAGGAAATGGCAGGTGAATGGCATGTGAATGGCATGTGAATGGCATGTGAATGGCATGTGAATGGTAGGTGAATGGCAGGTGAATGGCATGTGAATGGCATGGGGAGCAAACGACCTGTCAATCGCATGTGCCTCCGCCTCCGCATGAAATCCCTCTGCCCGTCTCTCCAGCTTGAGTTCAGTGGACGACAACCAAAGCACCTTCTCCTCCAGCGCCAACACCTCTGCCACAACAAATCAAGAATAACATGACATCCACTCACACCACTCACCGCTGTACCTCCGCCTCTGCCTGAAACCCCTCTGCCTGTCGCTCCAGCTTGAGCTCGTTCGACCTCAGCCGCAGCACCCGCTCCTCCAGCGCCACCACCTCTGCTGTTCAGCTGAGACTGAGCGTGTGAACATGACAACCAATCACACAGTCACTCACCGCTGTGCCTCGGCCTCTGCTTGAAACCCCTCTGCCTGTCTCTCCAGTTTCAGCTCATTCGACCTCAGCCGCAGCACCCGCTCCTCCAGCGCCACCACCTCTGCTGCCAGCGCCTGCGATCGCTCAATGGCTGCCAGTGACTCATGGTGGGCTGCCTCTTTTGAGACTGCCTGTGACTCCATCACCACCTGAAGGGAAGAGGTGCGGGGGAGGAAGGGTGTGGGGGGGTAGAGCAACCACAATTGGCGACAGCGCCCACCACCTCTGCTGCCAGCGCCTGCGATCGCTCGATGGCTGCCAGCGACTCATGGTGGGCTGCTTCCTTGCTCACTGCTTGTGACTCCATCACCACCTGATGGGGAGGGGCGTAGAGGGGGGGCAGGAGAGACAAATCAATGCCTGCGATCGCTCGATGACTGCCAGTGACTCGTGGTGTGCTGCTTCCTTGCTCACTGCCTGCGACTCCATCGCCACCTGAGGAGGATTGGCGTTGGGGGTATGTGGACGGGGGTTGGGACCACTTCTGGCGACAGTGGCGCCCGCAATCGCTCGATGGCTGCCCGCGACTTGTGGTGGGCTGCTTCCTTGCTCACTGCTTGTGACTCCATCACCACCTGCAGGCGAGGGTTTGGGGGGAGGAGAGGAGAGGATGACGGGGAAGGGAGGGGGTTGTGGAAGTAAAGGAGGTTTGAGCGCAGGGTCAACAGCCGCAGCACCCGCCCCTCCAGCGCCACCACCTCTGCTGCCAGCGCCTGCGATCGCTCGATGGCAGCCAGAGACTCGTGGTGTGCCGCTTCCTTGGACACTGCCTGTGACTCCATCACCATCTGAAGGGGGTAGGGGTTGGAAGAGAGAGGAGGAGGGGGAATTGGGGGGGACGCGGGACGGGGTTGGGGGAACAAAAGCCAAATCAGACAAGATGTTTCACTCAGATAAGCAGCACAAGTATATAAATGTCCCTTTCAAGATGTTTCACTCAGATAAGCAGCACAAGTATATAAATGTCCCTTTCAAGATGTTTCACTCAGATGTTGCCACCTTCTCCCCCACAACCTCCAGTGCCCTCTACCCCCTCCCAAATTCACCCTTCCATCCACACCCGCCCCAACTCCCCTGCACACCCACCTTTCCCTCCCACACACCCACATCACATCACCCTGTGTGTCTCTCACCTTCTGCGCTTTCACCTCCGCCTTGAGTTTCGAAATCTCCTCCCTCATCTGCTCCAAGCCCTTCGCCTGAGAAAGAAACGGCAGAGAGCAGGGGACAGAAAAGAACGGGAAGGGAGAGCAGAGTTTCAAGTTCAACAAGTACATGATTTGTCATAAAACACACCTCAAACAAATAAGCCTTCTTCATTCAAGCCCTTAGGCGCCAATTTTCCAGCCACCAGCACAAGCCACCTCCCCTTTTTCTCCACCACCCCCTCTTCCTCACTCACCCCTCACCTTACTTCCCCCCCTCCCCCTCTCATCGCCTCACCTGTGGATTCAGTCGTCAGTGAGCGCAGAGCTCTCTTTGGGCAGGGACTCAGCCACCTTTCAAGCCGCATACAGTTGCTGCACCCCATTGGCCAAGCCCTTTCCTGTCCCTCACTCTCCCTTTTCATCACCTCACCTGCCGGTTCAAATTATCTGTGAGAACGGAGCTCTCTTTGGCCAGAGACTCCGCCACCATTCGTGCCGCATCCAGCTGCCACCCTCCTGCCAAGCCCTTTACCACCTGCTCCCATCCCCCCTCACGGCCTCACCTGGTGGTTAAAGTCGTCAGTAAGCTCTCTTTGGGCAGGGACTCAGCCACCATTCAAGCTGCATCCAGCTGCTGCACCCCATTTGCCAAGCCCTTTCCTGCCAACTCCTCACCCTTTCATCAACTCACCTGTCGGTTGAAATCGTCTGTAAGAGCGGAGTTCTCCTTGGCCAGGGACTCGGCCACCATGCGAGCTGCATCTAACTGCCGCTGCAGCGTGAACTTCTCCTCTGTGAGCTCCTCTATGTACTGCCGAAAGTGAAGAGGGAGGGAGGAAGTGGAGGGGGGAGAAGGAGTGAGGGAAGGAGAGGAGGGCAATACGTGAAGATTCCAATGCAGCGTGAATTTCTCTTCTGTAAGCTCCTCTATGTTGCAGGGATTTTTTTAGATTTCTAAAAAAATCTCTGCAGAGTGAATTTCTCTTCTGTAAGATCCTCTATGTTCTGCACAAAGGGACATGGATGGGAGGCCAAGTTGCACAGAAGGGAAACAACCCAAACGAGCAGCAGCAAGAGAAGAGATGCCCAAGTGACGTGGGGCAGCAACAAGAAAAGCAATGCTCTAATTTAGTCCCCCTTCCCCATTCCACCCAGCCCCACCTGTTCAAGAAATGCAAAGTCGCTCGATGCAGAGTGACTTTTGAGTCGACTCAAAAATCAGGTCCCAGCCCCACCTGTTCAAGAGACGCAAAGTCGCTCGATGCAGCACCCTTGGAAGACTGCTGCCCTCCCTCCATCCTCTCCCTCATCCTCTCCGTCTCCCTCGTTCTCTCGTCGCCACTCCGTCCACCTTCTTCCTCCTTCCCAGACCTTTCCTCCATCTCCTCGTTAACCCCCTCTCTCTCACCGACACGCGCCCCTTCCTCCCTCCCTTCCTGCCCCTCCATTCGGTTTCCATATCCCATGCCTCTGCCCTGCTCGTCCGACAGCTTCTGCTTTCCAGGCTCGGCCGAGGCAGCAGGTTTGGAAAACAAAGAGCCGACAGGTCCGGAGAAAGGTGAGTCTGCCATTGGTGGTCTGGATGGGGGAGGTACGGAGTCTTGGGAGGGTTGGCCCAGGCGGGATTGCAGGGAGGATGGGAGAACAGGGGCGGGAGGCAGAAACCCTAATTCGCTGCGTAGTTTCGCCATCTGCTCGGCTGTAGCTGCGCTACCCGGTGCTGCAAGAGAGGACGAGAATGACTGCGATGCTGCTGTTAACGAGCCTGCTGATAAAGAGGACGACTGGCTGCCTGTTGCAGAGGATGGAGGTGGAAGGAAGGAGGGGCGGTAAGCTGCTGCAATGGATGGCTTGGCAGCTGCTTGCAAGGAAAAAGACAAGGATGTGGACGGGGAGGAGAAGGTGGAGAAGGAGGAGTAGGAAGAGGAGGAGAAGGCGGAAGAGGAGGAAGAGGATAGGGTGCTGTTGATACTACTCAAGGCTGTGGCACTAGTTGCTCGCAGTCCCAGTGCTGCGCCAAGCTTTGCATCTATATCAGCTGAAGACCCCAGCCCTGATCCCCCTGCCGCACCCGAAAAGGAATACTTTCCCAAAATAGAAGAGGAGGAGAAGGCAGTCGCAGCTGAAGGGCCTTTGCTGCCACCCAAAGCGCCAGCTAATACGTCTTTAGAACTGCCTAAGGCTCCTGAAAGAGGGTCCTTTGTAGTTAGTCCTCCTCCTAGTGCCCCGCTAAGGACGTCTTTAGAGGAAGAGAGTGTAGGGAAGGATGAGAGTGAAGAGAGAGAGGAGGGATAGGAGTAGGAGGAGTGAGAGGAGGAGGAGAGGGTGGAGGAGCTGTAGGGTAGAGAGGAAAGAGAGGAGAGAGAAGAGAGTGTGGCTGCAGAGGAGGGAAAGAGAGACGATGGCAGAGGCTTGGTCGGAGAGTCATAGAGAGAGGAGGAGGGAGTGGCAGTGGTGGAGGGGAGAAAGGGAGAGGAGGGGCGAATAGTGGAGGAGGCACGAGGCGAGTCGTTGAGATTATTCAAGGATGATTCCTTGTGAGGGGAGTCAAGAGAAAGGGCGGAGGAGGAAGCAGGGAGCGAGGATGCAGAGGCAAGGGAGGAGGAGGGCTGGTGACGTTCGTCAGAGGACTGCCTGGGAGGAAGAGAGGTGAGAGAGGAGGGTTTGGTAGGGGAGTCGTTAAGGCTGGGGTGGTGAGAGGATGGAGTGAGGCGAGGGAAAGAAAGCTCTTTCTGTGCAGCTGGTTTGAGAGGCGAGTTGAAGAGGGAGGGAGATGAGGAGGTGGTAACACTGGTAACAGTGCTTGTGCTGGAGGAAGAGGAGGAAGTGGAGAACGAGGAGGAAGAGGAAGACGAGGAAGAGGAGGAGGAAGAGGAGGACGAGGAGGAAGTGGAGGAGGGATCAAGGTCGGGAGAAGGGAAGACTCTCTGAGGGGAGGCGGAGGGAGTAGTGGCAGCAGATGCAAGCTTCCTCAGCCCTCGCAACCACGATGGTCTTGAAAACCCTCCTTTTGATTCCTGCTTGCGCCCCTCCTCTTTCTCCTCTGCTCTTGCAGCACCCGCCCCAGACACCACCTCCCCCTTTGCCCCAGATACCGCCTCCCCCTTCGCACCCCCATCCTTCACCTGCTTCTCTTCCCGCTCCTCCCACTCCCTCCCTTGCAGACCTTTCGCCTGCCCACCATGCACGCCTTGGGCTTGCCCTCTATCACCCCACGACTGCCACCTCCCTGCAGCCATATCATCAACCCCCATCTTCATATCACCCGCCCCTTTCACAGCCTGCCCCACGTTGACCAAATCCGACGCTGACAAACTCTTTCCTCCCCCTAGACCCTGCCCTCCCAGGTTCCCCTTGCCAGCCAGCAAACCCCCGCCCCAATCCTCTTCCTCCTCCTCCCCATCCTGTCCCTCCTTGTGCTCCTCTCTATTCCCTGTCTCCGCACCCTTCGTTCCTCCTGTTCTCTCCTCTGATCTAGGAGCAGGGGCGATGATATTCCACCAGGAGGAAATAGACTTGGGCCGGCGGCGGGACGAACCGTCACGGCCCCCATCCGCCCCTTTTTGGACCTCGCTCTTCCGCCCAACCACCTCGTCACTCTCCTCACCATCCGCACCCCCGCCGCCCACCTCTCCCTCCTCCCCTTTCTCGGCCTCTCGCGCGCTTTCCGCTGCTCCCGCTCTCTCCTGCGCCTCCTCCCCTGCTTCCTGTCCCCGCAAATCACCACCCTTTGCAGGCTCACGCCCCTCTTGCTCCAGCTCATGCCGGCTCGCTTCACTCCCAGTACGAACCTGCCCTTGCCTCACTGCCTCCTGGCTAGAAACCCCTACCCCGTCTGCTGCTCCCGCTACTCCTCCATCCCCTCCTTCATCCACACTCCCTAACGCTGCTCCTTGATTATCCACCTCCTCCCTCAACCCCTCCAGAGAGCCTCCCTGTCCCCCCTGCTCCTCACCCTCCGAAACCCTAGCGTCAATCCCACTCCCTCTGCCCCTGCCGCCGTCGCCCCTCATCATTCCCCGGGCCGGGGAAAGAGCAGCGGAGAACAGTCGCGCGAAGGCAGAACCCTTGGGTCTCTCAGGCGATTTCAGCTTCTCAGCAACGGAAGACTCCTCTTGGGGCAGCGCCTTAGGAGAAACCGGTTCACTACCCGCGAAGGCATCACCATTGCCTCGTGAATGCTCGTGAGTGTCTTCCTTCTGGCTGTGCACGGAAGCAGACTCAGATGCAGATGGAGGGTTATCAGAAGGAGCGCTCGCTTGACCTGTATCTGCGCCTCTAGACGCTGCAAACCGCAGCGACTCAGAACCATGTGCGGCAGGAATGGATGAAAAGTCAGGACTTGAGCAGGCGTCTGAATCGCCAGTATCCTCTTGACCCGGGGCAGCAGGGGACTGGCTGGTGGGGGCTGGGACTGACGTCACCAGGGAGGCAACGGGGGAGTTGACATCAGCTATCGCGGGAGCTGGGGCAGAGAGGTGGGGCGCGCGGGAGGGGATGAAGACGGAGGGGGAAGGGGAGGCAGCGGAGGAGGAGGGGAGCGGGGAGGTGTAGGCGGAGGGGAGAAAGGACGCACGAGCAGGCTTCGCCACAGGCCTGGGGACTGCAGCGGAAGGTGCTGAAGGGTTGAAGAAGGTCGGTAACACAGGAGGAGGAGGAAGAGAAGAGGCAGAAGGAGGAGCAGTGAGAGGCAGAGCAGAGGCAGATGCACCTTGAAAGGAGTCATGGGAGGTAGACGCTGAGCTGGCTGAGGGAGTGGATGGGTCAGACGATTCAGCAGCGTTAGCAGCACCACCTGTAGTGCCAACACTGCCATGCAATTTCCCTATACTCGCTTCCGGCGGCGAATCCTCTGCAGGTCTATTGTGCGCCTCGTTCTCTGCTTCCTTTGAATCTTCTGCTGGCCGACCCTGCTGCAGCCTGGATTCGCTATCGGCAGGTGACAGCACCTCATAGGCGAGCAGGTCCTGCTCTTGTAACGAGTTCCTTATAGCGGGTATTGTGGGGCCCAGGCTCGGTGTATGGGCTGTAGAAGCTGAAACCGTCTCAGAAGCAGCAGCAGCAGGAGCGTCAGCAGAAGCACCAGCAGAAGCGTCAGCAGGCGCACCAGCAGAAGCATCAGCATCAGAATCCGACGAGGCCGAAGCAGGCAGCACCGCCACCTCATCTGCTGCAGCACGGGAGGCAGCTGCTATCATCACTGGGCTTTGATGGCTTTGATTGGAAACAGCGGGAGAGAGAGAATCGAAGAAGCTCTCAGCGTCTGCATCCTCCTCTCTCTCCCTCCCCCCTCCAACCCCTCCCACGCGCGTTTGCAACGATTCGCCCACCCCTCCCATAAATGGCTCTGCTTCCCCCCCTTGTCCTTTACTGTCTCTAGCACTGGTACCGTGTTCCGACGCTGATCCCGGCCCCGCTGCTTCCTCCCGCGCCGTGCTTACACGCGTAATCGCCTCGGCCTCCTCCTTATCCTTCCGCCCGCCGCTGCTCTGTAACTCTGCGTCTCTGTCCGCCCCTCCATCCCTCTTGTCCGTGCTGCTACCAGCTCCTATTCCGGCGGCAAGTGCGGCTGCAGAGTGAGGGGTAGAAGAGCTTGCGGATACCCCAGGGGGAGCGGCAAAGGATGAGAATGGAACCGTATCGTTGCTATTGCCGCTACTTCTGCTACTGCTGCTGTTGCTGGTGCTGCTACCTCTACTGCTGCCGCTACTGCTACTGCTGGTTCCGCTACTGCTGATGTTGCCTGTGGTGTTACCCTGTAACCCCCAAAGCGGGCCCATACCCCTGCCTTGACTCGAGCCTCCCCCCATCCAATCCGGGCGGGGCCGTGCGCCGTCTGCGCCTCCCCCGACCTTCACTGGCGGGGGCGCGGAGAAGGCGGGTGGCGGAGGGGATGCGCGGGAGGGCTGCGCATCAGGCGCGGGGCGAAGAAGGGAAGGCTTGGCGGCGTTAGGCGCACCGGCTGCGGTGGCGGAAAGTGCGTGGCTTGGCGCGCCAAGGAAGGCAGGCGGAGGCGCACCGGCGGACTTCTGCGCTTGAGACGCTTCCGCGGGTGGGGAAAAGGTGCGCGCGAGCGGAGGGGCAACGCGCTGGGCTGGCGCAAGACCGGATCGGGAGGCGGGTTGCGCGGGAAAAGAAGGCTCGCGCGGGGGGGAAAACGTCCGCGCGAGGGAAGGCTGAGCGGGACCCCTTGATCCGGAAAAAAGCGCGGAAGCGGGGGGTGCTCCACCGGGACCGGGACCTGTAACCCCGCTTGGTTTCGCGAAGGTTACCAGAGGTCCCTTCGCCGCAAACGGGAGCGGCTGCATCGCTCCAGCCGGCCTCGAGGCGACAGACCCAGCGGGAAACCCGGACGACGGTACAGGTGGAGCGGCGGCATTGGCTGCGTCAGAACCTGGGGCCCCCGGAGGATGAGGGAGGCCGTTAGCGGCTGAAATCGACGGCTGAGATTGCTGCCAGAAGGGAGTGAGAGGAGATCCGAAGTTGGCGGATCTAAACGTGGGTAAGGCTGCCGGAGCTTGGGCTAAGCCAGGCTGCGCCATCGGTCTTGTTAGAGCGGTCGGAGCGAAGGAATGTGGTTGTGATTGAAACGCGGGAGGGCCTATAGCGGGAGGAGCAGCGGCTGTTGTGCGAGATGGCACCGGCTGCTGTGATAGAGGGGGATTTACTGCAGAAATGGGTTTGGCTGCTGGTTTAGCTGTAGTTGAAGATGCTGATCGGGAAGACGCAGACGCCCCTGCTGCCGCTGCCGCTTTCTTTTTGCGGAACTCTTCGAGCTGCAAATTTACGCGAGAATCAGGAAGCATGCGATAGGAAACGGATTCTTAGGCTGGTATTGCAAAGTAATGCGGAGAAAGACACATGAAATGAGCTGTCGTGAAGTGAGGTGGTCACAACAATTTTGCGACCGAACTCTGAGAAAGCAAAATGAAAGCCGGAACCTGAGACATCGGCGAAAAGGAGGACCACCATAACTTCGCCATGAGGAGTAAAGTTACCTTTCTTCGGCCAGCTTGAGCTAATTCATTCTTCTTAGCGCCAGCAGAAGCCGGCTTAGTTTCTACGTCAGCCATGACTACAGCCAGGATCGCTAGAAAGAAATCAAGTGAGAAATCAAACAACCGTACAGCGAGGAACCACTAGCTATGCAGTGAGGAGCTGCAAGAAGGAAATTGTCGATTTAGTGAACGCCGTCACGTGGAATGTCCCACGAGAACGATATAAGAGGGAGCATGGCGGCCTAAGTCTAAAGCAGACACACTCAATCAACAATTATAACCAATAATGATGCAACGATCAAGCTCGGAATAACCCCGCCAGCGACCTGAGCTGCGAGTTCAAGGCAAGAGATCACACTTTCACTGATTCATGGTGGTTGTGAATGGATCAGGCGGCTTCTGTGAAGTGGGGTGAGAAATGGCTCTCAGAATGGAATCCTTCGACTAGGTTTGGTGGGATGTTGTCCAAGCGTCTCTACACTAGCTGGGAAGGGGTTGGGTGTTGGTCTCTTGTTCGTTCTGTGCGGTTTATTCTGTTTGTGTCGCGGTGCAAAACGGTAAATCAAGAAGGGCGCTCTGCGCCGTGTGGAACCGCTCTGAGCCACGATGAATAACAGTAAACGCACACGCACCCCGCATTTCCAGACCAGGCCAAACCAGGCGGAACCAGATTTCCGCAGCAAAACGTGCGGTTGGGATGGGCTCGAGAGTCGAGAGGCATCAGCGCAGACCTACACTGCTGAATCTGTGGTTCTTTCTGATTGGCGGGACGACCTGATTTCACCTGACAGACGGGACACCACAGAAACGCGCACCTATCCTTCACATCTTACCGTACACAACAAATCAAGCTACATAAAGCTTATATAATATGTATATATAGAAAATAAGGACTATATCCAACTTATCCAGCAATCACGTCAAATCCTTTCTCCAGAGCATATCCATATGCTCAAAAACGTCCTCCTCGTTGCACCCCCCCTGTTCAGTTGACACAAGTCGTCTATGCAAATCTTCTTGCAAACCCATTTGCTCTGCCAGGGGTTCCCTTGCCACCTGAGCTCCACAATACGGCCAGCATTCCACCAGTGCCTGTAACCACACTAGCATAGAACCGTTCTTCTTTACTGAAAACGAGGCTGTTCCAGCAATCCGAACATAACCTGCCTCGCCTTCAGAAGAATCTGCTGCGGAAGTGCTCACAGCAGTCCCCTTACCAGGAAATGCCTCCTCAGATGAACCCTCGGGATCAAAACTGCTGCAGCTAGCACTGGTTGCACTACAGCTCCTCGAAAGCACTATGCTCTCCTGCGTTGGTATATCTCCAGCACTCCAGCAGCGATCGCATGACTGCTCTGCGAGCCCCATAACCTTCTTGTTCGCGTGTCGATCCCCAGCTACACGCCTGGAAACGGTTGCTTGTCTGCACACCCGATCGCGTGTGCCGTGTTCTTGTTGCATATCATTGGCTCCTGTCCCTGTACACGCCACAGCGGCTCGTTTCCGCTGCCTGAACTCCTCAAGCTGCGTGAAATTTGCGAAAATAAGACAGTGGGGGCGGGAGAGCGAGAAGTAGAGAGTGAGGGTTGGGGGACGAGAGGAGGACATGAAATGAAAGGAAAGGCGGAATGCGGGAGAAGTCTGACAGACGAGTTTGGAAAAAAATGTTTTGAAGTAACAGAGCAGAAAGGTCGGAAATAAGTGTAAAAACAGAAACTAGAAAATGCGCTTCAGAAAAACCGTTGAATATCGTGGTACGCAAGAGTAATGCGAACGACGGCAACATACCTTCCGCCTTCCCGCCTGCGCCAGCGCGTCCTTCTTTCTCTCTGACAGTTTAGACGATGGCTCGCCATTCGGGCCCATGTCGCATGACGTGGCTAATTCTACGAAAGAAAAAAATGGTAACTTAACTCGCCACGATGAGAATTGTTTCAGGACAAGCAGCGGCGTATCGCAGTAGACCCTACACGCGGCAAAGTACTAATGGTGGGAACAACAACAAAATAACTAAGGGAAAGGCGGGAAGTGGATTTGTGAAATGGCAAAAGTCTAGGCAGTTGATAAGATGAGATTGACAGCAGTGACTCGTGCAAGGCAGCAATGATCGTGGCAGACACATGGGATCTCGAATGTCACCTTCAAGCTTGTACGAGTGTGAACTGTGCCAGGGTTTGTTTTTGGCACTGCCTGAGCCAAGTTGTTTTCGTTTCTTTCCCTTGCGAATGTGCTATGAACATAGATGCTTATGTTACAAATACAGAGATACAGGTGTTACAAAGTACTTTCAGAACCCTAAGTGTCAATCGCCGTATCTGCATATCCACTGCTACGCGCCTTTCTTGTTTCTTGGTCTTCTTGACGATGAGGTGGGGGTCATTCGTTTGGGCCTGTTGGGGAGGGAGGCGACTTATTTACAGAGCAGAAAGGAAGGAGGATCGGTTAAAATTATTTACAGGGCAGAAAAAAATAACTGACACCTCGAGCGCAACCTCCTCGAGTTTCCCCCAGCGCGAGGTGGGAGGAAGAGAGGCAAGAGTCAAAAACAGGCCCAACCGAACCTAAACACGCCCAACCACACCTGGCCGTCCGAACCTAACGTTGTAGCTAATTCGAGCCTAGGTCCGGGCTAGTTCGTAAACCAGATCCGAACCTAGCTAAGGCTAACCGCGTCACCTAGCTAAGCCTAATTCGAGCCTAACGAACTAACGCTCCTAACGTAGTGCTCCTAACGCTCCTAACCACCCAGGGACCCAAGGCCCAGACCCACTTACCAAACCCACCATACACAGCTTGTTGCTCCAAGCTCGGCGCTCCAAGCTCCTTGCTCCGAGGTCCGCACTCCTCGCCCGCTCATGCTCCTGCCCACAGACCAAAACCAATAGACGGCATTAGTGTTTCGAAAAGGAAGAAATTGAAATTGATGAAACTTACCAGGAAATGGGAGACCACACAGTTTACCTCCTTGCTCGCTCCTCCTGCACTACGACAGAACACAAAATATAAACTTAGTAAATGACTGAAATTGACTATATTTACCGAGAGAGGGAGAGCTCGCCGCGTGGTACATCCTTCACCCGCTCCAGGTGTTGCCCGTGCTCCATGCTCCTGCTGCCGTTGGATTTAAAAGGCACAGAAGTGCAAGGAAAAATACGTTAGGTAACAGAAAACAGATATCGCTAAAAAGTTAGTAAAACAAAAACAAAACTAGCTGAAATATACGATACTTACCAAGAGAGGGAGACGGAGATGAAGGGCGATGCGCCTAGAAAAACGCCGCCATGCGAAAGCAGAAGCGTCGCCAACCGCTCCTCATGCGCAGTGTGTCAAACTCCTTGCTAATGCTCCGTGGAGCTCCGACGCGCCATCCGCCAGGCTGAAGCTCCGTGGAGCGTCGTCTACAGGAAAAAAATAACTAAGTTAGAGCTTATCCAGGAGAAATATCCGAAGGAAAGATACGTATGCTATCACCGGGAATGAATTCTTCATAAGACGTCTACTTAACTCCACTTCAATGATTTAACACCTTCACTGGTCGAAGCGTAGTGTGACGGTAGGATCGCGGCCGTGTGTTGGAGGAAGCTTAGTAGAAGCGTCGCTAGCCGCTCCTCATGAGCCGTGCGACCAATGTCTCTGTCCGCGTTTAGGCGCTTGCGAAGGAGGGCCGCCGTACGGCGGAAGAGAGGCTCGCAGAAGAAGGACCATCTGCAGGAAGGAGGAAAGTAAGTTAGAGCCAATATTGAAGGAAATGAAAAAAACAGCAATAAGGACGTTGTCAGAATGTTATGTTTGTCTAGCCTGCAGTGTGTCAAACTTATATCTGCTATAGTCTATTTAGGCTGTAGTGGGGTAGTTCTTAGAGGGTACAACACTTATGTGTTTCCTACTTGTACCCATCTCATTCCTAGTTCATTCATTCTTTCGTCATTCTCACATGGTATAGAGCTAGTTTCGAGTTTTTTTTTTTAAGGGCCCACCACTGAAATTTTTCACTGCCTGCTCGACGCGCGCGTCGCGCCTTCCCTTCGAGGCCCGTCGCGGCCCCTGCGCCTGCCCTTAGAGCCAGCGCCGGCCCCGTAAGGCCCCCTTTTCCGGCCCCGTAAGGCCCCGTAAGGCCCCGTTTACGGCGCCGTTTAATGCCCCGTAAGGCCCCGTAAGGCCCCATCAGGCCCCGTAAGGCCCCGTTTACGACCCCGTTTAAGGCCCCGTAAGGCCCCGAAAGGCCCCGTCAGGCCCAGTTTAAGGCCCCGTAAGGCCCCATAAGGCCCCGTCAGGCCCCGTTTAAGGCCCCGTTAGGCCCCGTAAGGCCCCGTAAGGCCCCGTAAGGCCCCGTCAGGCCCCGTCAGGCCCCGTTTGCGGCCCCGTCAGGCCCCGTAAGGCCCTGTCAGGCCCCGTTAGAGGCCCCGTACGGCCCCGTCAGGCCCCGTTATCGGCCCCGTCAGGCCCCGTCAGGCCCAGTAAGGCCCCGTCCGGCCCTGCCCCGGCCCTACCCCAACCTGTCGCGGCCCTGCGCCGGCCCTGCTGCGGCCCTGTCGCAGCTCTGCCCCGGCCCTGCTCCTGCACTGCCGCGGCCCGGCCCCGGCCCTGCCCCGGACCTGTCGCGGCATCGCCCCGGCCCTGTCCCGGCCCTGCTCCGACCCTGCCCCGGCCCTGCCCAGGCCCTGCCCCGGCCCTGCCCCGGCCCTGCCCCCTGCCCCGGCCCTGCTCCGACCCTGCCCCGGCCCTGCCCCGGCCCTGCCCCGGCACTGCCCCGGCCCTGCCCCCTGCCCCGGCCCTGCTCCGGCCCTGCCCCGGCCCTGCCCCGGCACTGCCCCGGCCCTGCCCCCCCTGCCCCGGCCCTGCTCCGACCCTGCCCCGGCTCTGCCCCGGCCCTGCCCCGGCCCTGCCCCGGCCCTGCCCCGGCTCTGCCCCGGCCCTGCCCCGGCCCTGCTCCTGAACTGTCGCGGCCCTGCCCCAACCCGGCCCCGGATCTTTTGCGGCCCGGCCCCGGCCCTACCCCGGCCCTGCCCCAGCTTCTCCCCTGGTAAGAGCGCCGCGCTGCCGAGCCACACCGCCTTGCCGAGCCGCGCCGCCCTGCCTAGCCTGCTTAGCCGAGTTGCACTGCTGCTGCTGCTAGCCTGCTGCTTCTCCTGTCATGGCTAGTCTCAATGTTCTTACCTTTGATGCTGAGGGTCGAGCTGTTGACTTTGAGGTCTGGCTAGATGATCTGCAGCTTTTCCTACAGTGCGATAGCAAGGATGGTCTCTCACTATTCGATCTCACGTCTGGCGCCTCTACTGCCCCTGCTGCTGATGCTGACAGTACTGTTCGCTGGCAGTGGCTCACGCGCGATGCTGCTGCTCGTCTTGCTGTGCGTAATCACCTGCCGTCTACTGAGCGCGCGCACTTTAGTCAGTACAAGAGTGCTAGGGCTCTGTACGACACTGTAGTTGCACGCTACTCCTCCCCTACCACTGCTGCCCTCAGCCGCCTCATGCTGCCGTACCTTTTTCCTGACCTTGCCGCCTTTGCCACAGTTGCTGACCTAGTTGCTCACCTCCGCACTAGTGACGCTCGCTACCGCGCTGCCCTTCCCACTGAGTTTCTTCCCACGAACTCCCCCCCCATGTACATCACCCTTTACTACCTAGTCACCCGCCTCCCTGACTCTCTCTCCTCAGTCAGGGATCACTTTCTCTCCCTTTGCCCCACCGAGCTGACTGTCGACTTGCTAGAGGAGCGCCTTGCTGCAGCTGAGAAGAGTATCTTAGCTGTCGGTGCTTCTCGCGGCGACCGTCGCACCCCCTTCTTTGAGGGGTGTTCCCCTGTCCCCCTTCTCCCCTCTGTTGCCTCTGCTGCTGCTGTCGACCTCGTTGGCACTGAGGAGGTCGGCGCTGCGTCTGCCCCTTGGGGGCGACGCCGCACTGGCAAGGGCAAGGGAAGCAAGGGTGGTGGAGGGGGCGGTGGAGGAAGCGGTGGAGGAGGTGGAGGAGGTGGAGGTGGTGGTGGGGATGGTCCCGGGAGTGGGGGCGTCGGTGGCGGCAGTGGAGGCCGTGGAGGCGGTGGCGGAGGCGGTGGAGGCGGCGGCAGCGGTGGTGGAGGTAGCGGAGGAGGTGGTGCTGGTCGCGGTGCAGCCACGCAGCGTGGAGGCCTTGGTGGCAGCCAGCATCAGCAGCAGCTGCGCACCCGTGAGACCCCGTCTGTTCAGCAGCTTCGTGAGTGGTACGCTGGGCGTGGGAGGTCTGGGGGTGCAGGTCCCTGCACGTACGTTCTTCGCACAGGCACTCGTAGTGGGGAGGTGTGTGGTCTCCCACACACCACGCAGCGCTGCTTCGGCCGCTTGACTGACGCTTGGCGTACCCAGTTTCCTGACTCTGTTGAGCTTCCTCGTTGGCATGATCTGCTTCTGCAGAATGTGCCTATCTTTGATCTAGACTTTGATGCTATCCTTGCTGCCATGTATGCTCTTGCTGATATTACTGAGGGTGACTGTTACCTGCGTGTCCCGCCCGACCCGGGCACTGTGGCTGCTGCTCTAGGTGCTAGTGCGGCTGCTGCTCTAGGTGCTAGTGCGTCTGCTGCTCCAGGTGCTGGTCCGTCTCCTCTCTCAGGTACTGCACCTACTGAGTCCTTTCACACTTTCACACTTGACTCTGGTGCTTCGCGCTCTTTCATAAGAGACAGCACCACGCTCACGCCGCTCAGCCGGCCTGTTGCGGTCTCCCTTGCTGACCCCTCAGGGGGCCCAGTCCTTGCACGCTCCTCTATAGTTCTACCGTGTCCTGCGGCCCCGTCGGGCTTGCTGTCGGGACTCAACCTGCCCTCGTTCTCTACGAACTTGGTGAGTGGAGCTGACCTCCAGGACGCGTGGGTTGACCAGTTCACCC